TAAGGTGCTGTACTCCCACATGGCCAACCATGGTTTGAGTACTGGACGTGGTAGCTTTCTCTCTCTCTCTCTCTCTCTGTCTCTCTCTCTCTAGTGAGTGCATGTGTCAAGTAGCAAATTAAAAAATAATAAGGAACCAGCAGGTGGTGTGGTGGCTAGGGCATAGGACCACAGTTCCAAGTCCTAGACCTGATGGCTTGCTTTCTTACTTTCCCTCTCTTTCTCTCTCTCTTTCTGTCTCTCACTGGTGAGTGCGTGTACCCTGTTGCCATTTAAATAATAATAATAAATAAAAATAAATAATTTTCTGAGAGAGATTTTTGCTATAGGGCATGTGTGTTTGCCAGAGAGACAGAAAAGGAGAAATCACCCCCTAGGAGTGATGCAAATCCTTCTCCATTCTCCTCTCAAGATTTTGGGTACACGCACACAAGTGCCCGGCATGAATTTCAAGCAGCTAGTCCAGGGCTCAAACTGTGGTCAAACACGTGAAAGTCCAGTGCCTTAACCACTATGCCACCTACTGGCTTCAACAAATGATTATTTATTTAAAAAAATTTTAAAGAATTATTTTATTTAACTTTATTTATTTATTTATTTATTGTAATTTTGACCAGAGAGGGACAGAGCGAGAGAGCAAGAGAGAGAGCAAGAGAGAGAGAGAGGGAAAGTGAGAAATAAGCCACCAGGTCTGGGACTTGAACCACCGTCAGTCATGTGGGAGTCCAGTGTCATTAACCACTACATCACCTGCCAGCGCCAAAATTTTTTTAAATAATAATAAATACAAATTTTTAAAAAGAAAGTGATACTACTATTTTCATATATGTAAGATTCAAAACCTGTCAGACTTAACTGATGATGGTAGAAGTTAGCAGAGCGGTTGTCCTTAAGGAGGGAAGTGACAGGCGGGTGACAGGAAGGAGGCTTTCAGGGTGACGATAACATTCACTTTCTTGATCTAGGGGCTGGTTACACAAGTGTGTTACATTTATATGTGTACTTTTCAAACTTTAAACATTATTTATTTTAATTTTATCAGAGAGAGACTGAGATAGAGGGAGAGAAAGGGAAAGTGAGAAAGAAAACCGCCAGGTCTGGGACTTGAGCTGCAGTTGGCCATGTGGGAGTCCACCGTCTTAACCACCAACCACCACGCTACCTCCTAGCCCCAATATGTGTACTTTTATGTCTGTACGTTACCTTTCCAAAAAACAATCATTAGGGACCAGCAGTTGGCATAATGGCTATGTAGCTGAACTCCCATGTAGTTGACCACGGTTCGAGTCCCAGACCTGGTGGCTTAAACTCATGC